TGCATCAGATGCTGTCATTCCAACACCAATGTCTTCATTCAGAACTTCATTAACTACTGTGGACTACTGCACCCGCCTGCCAACTGGTGTTCTATCTCCACCCTGCCCATTTCCCAAGGCTCCAGCACATCCCTGCCAGAGCAATGCTCCCAACTTCAGCAAACTGCAGGTTGCTTCCAGTGGGCAGCCTGCATGGGCCCTATTCAACACCTTCAGGCCATGGGGTCCAACTGCTCTTCTCTGTTCCCACTACTTCCCTTCACAAATGCTTTCTACATGTCCCATCTCTGTGGCTCTGTTTACACATTCCTCTACCTGGTATACCTTCTTCCATAAAATCCAACTCATTCTTCAAAATAAATAAAAAATACCAATTCTTTTTTTTTATTGTTTTATTATTCATATGTGCATACAAGGCTTGGGTCATTTCTCCCCCCTGCCCCCACCCCCTCCCTTACCACCCACTCCACCCCCTCCCTCTCCCCCCGACCCCCTCAATACCCAGCAGAAACTATTTTGCCCTTATCTCTAATTTTGTTGAAGAGAGAGTATAAGCAATAATAGGAAGGAACAAGGGTTTTTGCTGGTTGAGGTAAGGATAGCTATAAAGGGAGTTGACTCACATTAATTTCCTGTGCGTGTGTGTTACCTTCTAGGTTAATTCTTCTTGATCTAACCTTTTCTCTAGTTCCTGGTCCCCTTTTCCTATTGGCCTTAGTTGCTTTTAAGGTGTGTGTTACCTTCTAGGTTAATTCTTCTTGATCTAACCTTTTCTCTAGTTCCTGGTCCCCTTTTCCTATTGGCCTCAGTTGCTTTTAAGGTATCTGTTTTAGTTTCTCTGTGTTAAGGGCAACAAATGCTAGCTAATTTTTTAGGTGTCTTACCTATCCTCACCCCTCCCTTGTGTGCTCTCGCTTTTATCATGTGCTCAAAGTCCAATCCCATTGTTGTGTTTGCCCTTGATCTAATGTCCACATATGAGGGAGAACATGCGATTTTTGGTCTTTTGGGCCAGGCTAACCTCACTCAGAATGATGTTCTCCAATTCCATCCATTTACCAGCGAATGATAACATTTCGTTCTTCTTCATGGCTGCATAAAATTCCATTGTGTATAGATACCACAAAAAATACCAATTCTTGCTTGAAGTATTCCTGGTTTTTCTATCAAGAAATTGAATTTATAATGCCTTGCTCTCAGCTATCTTCTCTGCTCAACCTTATGCCTTATATTACACTTTCTGCATATGCTTTTCACTGCCCCTACTGCACAGTTCTTGGGACTGTGTAATATGTCTTAATTACCTTTGTAGCTCTCAAAGTGCTTTTTCGCTTCTCCGTATTTGCTGAAGAAATGAGGGAATGAATAACTTAGCATCAGTATTAACTTATAAGTTGAGATGCTTAGAAACTGCAAAACTTTATCAGCATTATCTATTATTTATCTAGGGAAAATTTACCTAATCTCTTTGATTCATTATTCTTTTTTGGTGAGAGGAGCTAAGGGATGTCTGCTAAGTGTTTTTACTCAGTGGACATAAGCACCATGTTATAGGAATGAATTACCTGATCATGGTAAACACTGTCATAGGAACTGTACTCCAGATTCAACTACTGTGTTGTTAAGAAAATTATGTATGTGAAATGTACGTATGTGAAATTCAGAATATGTAAAGATGATATATAACTTACATTTTCTAAAACTGCAATACAACTTAACATTGGTTTCACAACTTGTTACTATATAGGATTGACATTTTTAGGAAGAAAACTCAAATCTTTTCCATAAGATGTCACCTTGGGAATGATACTATAACTGTCTAATTTGGGTTGGGGACCATTACAGGTGTTCTGCACAGGATGCAACACATTAATTTTCAAAACATGAAAATGAAACATCTAATAATCCATAACCATTAGAATTTGTGAACTTTGGGCACACACCAAGTTGATATCCTCTGCTCCATAAACTACAACACAGGATTTAGCATCAGTCTGTTAACCTGTTTAGGATACTAGACTGATCGATCAGTGCATTTTTATTTGTTTGTTTGTGTTTTGGTTGGGATTGGGGTTTGTCTCAGGGCTTCATCTACTGCACCTCTAGTCAGATCAGTGCAGTATTATAATAGTCATAAGAACTTAAGAAGATAAAGCTTAGAAACCTTGCTTCATAATCAAAGAAATTAGTTATAATTCATCTGTAGCATTACAAAACACTTTTTAGATTAATAAAATATTATAGATCAGAACATTACATAATTTTGATATTAGTGTCTCTTCCAGTCCATTCCATTGCCATAAAATGTAACTTTTAAGTAGTTCTGACCAACCACAGATAAAGTGATTTAATTCAGTATGTTTTTTTTTCTTTTTCTGGAGACAGTTTCTCGCTAGTAACTCAAGCTAGCCTCAAATTCTCCAACTTCCTGCCTCAGCCTCCCAAGTGCCCGGATTACAGGCATGTGCCACCATGCCCAGCTAATTCAATAAGAGTTTTTAAAAGTTGCTTGAGAAATCTGTGTTAACTATAGAGGATTTCTCCTGTCTTTGTCCACCCATACTAGTTAAAGAAGAAAAACAAGGTGTTATAATTCTCTAAGGAATATTTTCTGTAGCATTCTTTTCTCTTGACACCTGTAAGTCCTTCTATTGAGGTTACTGAACATCTGTGTCTATAGAGAAATTAAAAGTATTAGACCTAATATCCACTAGATGTATTCCAGCACCTGATTTTGCCACAATACTCACTGCTTTCTTAGCATTCCGGATACTGTTTAATGCCAGGAGTTCATTCATCACTGAGAAAATCTAGGCTAGTTTGAACGTGTACTTAACTTCTAGGTTTCATGCTCCAGTGCTATTCTTAAAAGATTCTTTCTTCAAAAGCATAGCTCCGTCTGTACCATTCAAATGGCATAGCCTCAAATAAATGTAAATATTGTCTTTTTGTTTATCCATATTCTTCTCTGACATATTGATAGAACACGATTCTATTTTCAGAGTGATTATTTAAGAATTACTGACTGTAAATCAAGAGTGTAACAACAAAGTGAGAAGCCAGGTTTTGCAATGATAGTCTTAACATCACTCTAGAAAGGCTGATGTGTGACTTTCTTTATAAATCTAAATATGTTCATAATATAGGAAGAACGAAGAAACCCATTGTATCCCCATGGTCCTGAAGGGATATCTGAAATTCCAAGAGTGTGAAAAAGCATGTCTAACATGATAACAAAGACTGTTGCCCAAGATACTGCTGTGTGCTTTCCCAGCTTTTGCAATCTACCTTGTGTCAAAAGTATTTATAATTTAAACCTGACAATAACAGAGCAGACACAAGAAGGTATAGTGCAGTGGTCCCCTGCTGGCACAATACAAGATGGTATTGGGGGTACACCAACATTTCTTATTTTAACAATCAATTTCTTATTTTGTGATATTAGGGTTTGAACACAGGGTTTCACACTTGCTAGGCAGGTGCTCTATTGCTTGAGCCACTGGGTCAGCTACATTTCTTATTTCAATACATACATGTTTTTTTTGGAGTTCATTAGGAAACATATAACTGGGAAATCAAACTTGTTACTTTCTACTTATTCTTCCTTGAGTCAAATTCCATATTGTATAAATTTAAGTTTAAAAAGTGAGTGTACTTAAGGAAAAAATACAGAGTAAGTGCTATTGACAAAAATGATTTGAGGCTTGGGAAGCTCTTGTGAGGGGTAAAGACTGAAATCTTGTGACAGTGGTTCTCCTTCAACCTGTGTCACTAATCAACTGTACTACCATAGCTGAGTTACAGTCTCCAGGCATCTATTCACTGTTTGCACAGAGACGGTGAGGGTGACCTTAATTAAGGACCACCACAGTGCCACTCTTCTGTGATGTTGTGTTCTCTTGTCAAATGCCATTACAAGGAATGACATTCTATGAAACAAAAGTGAGTGTTCTACCCCTTAACACAAGAGGCCTTACCTAAGCCAGTCATGGAAATCAGTGAATCTTCTGCTGATACATATATATATATATATATATATATATATATATGTACTCTACTGGTAGATCAGCCTAATCCTTTGAAAGGTTGAAGATAAACATGATTTTGCTTAGCAATGATACCTGTTCTTGCACATGGGAGGGGATTATCAGATAAATTTGGATTCTCTCATCAAAAGTGTAGCAAAATAGAAGAGAATTTTAGGTGTCATATTTCACATTGTAACTATTATTCCCACATAAGAGTAGGAAGGATGGATGTCCATGACACAGTTTGATGGAGGATTTAATTAAAATCAGTTTTTAAAAAGACAAATACACTTGCGTTACATGGAGAAAAATACAGGTGAACATTGTGTTTTAAGAAACAGGAGGAGCTTTAAGATAACTTGAAATCGCTGATCTGGTTTGCAGTTTTACAGTTCACTCTGAAAATAGAAACTGTGTTAACCAGTTATCATCTTCAGGGGTAATTAGCTCTATGTTCCTTTACTGAGCAACCTTGAATTGGTTCTCTTCCTAATGACTGCAGGAGTACAAGTTCTATCAAAACCCAACGCTGAGTACCAAAAAGCACTCAGTGTTGAAAATCTCTACCAAGTAATATTTTCATGGTCAGGCTCTCTGTTTTCTAAAATTATCTTCATAATTTCCTTGGAGTTACCATCTTTTTTGTAGAAGGTCCCCAGCTTCTCAGGGAAGACTGTCTTTTTGAAGGTTTCCCATCATTACTTCCACTGTGTCCTAAAGAGAAATCAGACTGACCATGACGCACGGTGAAGAAAAGCAGCTTTCGATGAGGGCATGAGCTCTGTGGATATATGAACTAAGCATTTTGGAAATTAATTAAGGACTAAAGTACTTTTTTTTCTATGTGGAATACTTACTATAAAAAGCAAATGAACAAACAAACACCAATAAAACCAATACAATCTATTTGTGTGGAAACATACCTGTAAAAAAAAAGAAGAAGAAGAAAGTGCCACGGGTGAGAGGTGACCTGCGATCTCTACCAGGGCACGCGCACAGAGCACATTTAAACGCGCACCCTTGGGTGTGGCGCGGAGCCTGGGAGCCGGCCGCTGCAGACACGTGCGGTCTCGGTCCCCCGGGCACGGCACGGTCACCGTCACGGTCACGGTCACGGTCACCGGCTGGCTCGCTGGCGTCACTGGCGGCTCAGCCTCCGCAGCACCGCCGCCAGCCTCTGCCGGCTGTCGGGCACCGAGGCGACGCGGCCCCGGGGCGGGTGCGCCTGGCCCAGCGCGGGGAGCGCGGCGCGGCGCACGCTCTGCGGCCCGGCCGGGGTCGGGGAGACGGCCGGCTTGGGCGCTCCGTGCGCCCCGGGGCCTTTGATCCCTTTTTCAGAGCTGGGTCTCGCCAGGCTTCTCTCGGCCCGATTTCTGACTGCTGAGGCCGAGGTGGTTAGATTGCCCTGACTGAGGGGACACGGCGACAATGGCAAACTTCCGCTGAGTTTCCGGAGCTCCAGGAGCTGCTCCCTGGCGTGACTCAAGGCCTCCGTCAGCTCGAAGCGTTCCTCACACTCTCTCCGCACCGTCTCCTGGAGAAGGGAGTTCTGAAAAGAGAGGGGACAAGCACCCTGGCTTTAACCACTGTGCATGAGAACTCAGATGGACATTAGACCCTGTTTTCCTTGACTGTCCTGTGATGCCCTGCCACAGGAATGGAAAAGTAAAAAACACCTGGACAGGACGTATAGGGAACACTTGGTTCAGCCCTTGCCATTTGCAGGAACCAAGAGGCAGAGTGGCCGAGTGACCTGTCCAGGGCCTCTCAGATTGTAGAGGTGGGGCTGGGACTAAAACCCAGCACTTGCAACACCTGCGTCAGGGGTTTCAGCTTCTCTGCCTTGTTTCTCAGACAGTATGTTCTGATATCTTATAGTTAGTATATGTAGAGCCATTAGCTATGTTATTTTATAGCGAAAGTACACAGCAACACATAAGACAAATCGGTAAAATCATTTGAATTAAAAGATTGAAAGAATAACAAAACAATCACCTTTAGCATTTAAATAATGAAATCAGTTATTTATAAGATGCCTTCTCAATGGAGCTTAAATATATTGACCATATGCCATTCTGTAAGATAATATCCTAAAATAAAGAACATCTGCTTGTGACTCCATTTGGAATTCATTTAGGGCCAGATGTGGTGGTTCAGTTATGTAATTCCAGCTACTTGGAAGATAGAGATCAGGAGGATAGTGGTTTGAGGCCAATCTGGCCAAAAAGTTAGCAAGACCCCACCTCAAACAACAAATTAGGAGTGGTGGTGTGCATCTGTAATCCCAGCTATGCAGGAGGCTTAGGTAAGACAAACACAGTACAAAGCTCACATGGGCAAAAATGTGAGACACTATCTGAGAAATAACTTAAAAAATGATGGAGGTGTGGCTCAAGTGGTAGAGCACTTGCCTAGAAAGTGCAAAGTCCTGAGTTCAAATCCAGAACTGCCACGAAAACAAAAAATAATACTTTATTAAGTTATTAGAAGCTGTAGTGGATGCAGCCTGTATTAGCTTCACAGTGCTAAGACAAAAATATCTGAGGCAATTGGCTCATAAAGAGAAAAGATTTATTTTGGCTCATGAGTCTACAAGTTTCAGCCCCATTGCTTTGGGCCTGTGGGAAGAGTCCATGTCACAGTGAGAGTGCAGAGTGAAACATTGCTTACACCATCATTGGGAAACAGAGAGAGAAGACTGTCCAGGGCCACACAATCTCTCTGGGGACACACCCCAGTGACCTAAGGACTTCTCACAAGGCCCTAACTCTCAAAGATTCTAACACCTTTCAGCGGTATCAGGCTGCTACTGGAGACCAAACCTTCAACATAGGGTCTTTGGGGGGCATCCACCAACCAAACTACAGGTCAGTCCTGTCCTCAAGAAGCCTGCAGGCTCAGAAGTTCAACAGAAGTGCTTTGTATGTCACTAATAGGCTCTGAAGCCTATGAAAGAAGCTGTGGGGTTTAAGATAAGGAAGAACTTTTGAATAAAGCTGTCTGGAAGATGGATACTTTGAAGAGAGCTGACTCTCATGTGGTAAGATAGACTGAAGCTTCAAACGTGTGGCTGCAGTAGTTATCAGTAAGGCCTCTTGAAATTCTGAGATTCAGTATTTTTAGCCATCTTTCACCTATGGAGTTCATCAAAATTCATGCAAGGCCCATAATAAACATTATGTCTTGGATCTCCTCAGTGTCCTGACATTCATGTCTGTAGGATGTCAAAAAAGTTTCAAAAACAGACAATTCAGCCAGGTGCCAGTGGCTCACGCCCATAATACTAGCTACTTGGGAAGCTGAGATCCAGAGGATTGTGGTTCAAAACCAGCCCTGGCAAATAGTTTATGAGACCCCCCCATCTCCAAAATAACCAGAGCAAAATGGACTGGACGTGTGGCTCAAGAGGTAGAGCACCTGCTGTGCAAGTATGAAGCCCAGAGTTCAAACCCCAGTCCTACAAAAAAGTAAAAATAAAAATAAAAATTCAAAGTATAAACACAATCGAAATAATTGTGCTGCAGGATCATGAATCAAAATGAATTTCCCTCAAGTTAGTTTGTTTGTAAAAACAACCAAAGCATTTCCAAGTCTGACTCTTAGTGTAAAACATCCTTCCTAAGGGCTTGCTGACTAATCTGCTGTCAGTGGAACTTGGTAAAAAAGCACCAGAGACAGTAGCATCTTCTAGTATTTGAGTTTCTTGTGATAATGGGCAGACCTACTCAATTCCAAATATAGTAATTAAAATAAAAGACTATGGAGCAATTCATTAGCACAGTTATTTGTCTATAAAACCAGCTGCGTGTCTGGGTCAAAGCCTCATCGTTTATACATAATTTACATGCATATGTGACGCACATATTCAGATTTTTAAGAAAACCATGGGTTAATTACTTGCATCTGGTTATTTATTTATTTGTACTGGAGGAAGCAAAGACTACTGGTGTTTGTGGATTTACCACCTGGTTCTTATTAACTCCACTTGCAATACTTATTGAACGTAGTGGCGGGGGAGAGGGAGGACTAAAGAGGAAGATGAACTATGTTAGGTGCCATCTCATTCATTGCTCCCAATAGTTATATTTGCAAAGAAAGGAACTGAAACTCAGGGTTATGCAACTTGCCCAGAGTGACCCAGCTCTGAAGTGGCAGAGGCCTGTCTGCTCCAGATCTCTGTTTCCCGCTGTCTGTGCCTGAATGAGTTGTCTAATTCATTGCATCAATATGGGGGGGGGTCATTTCATTCCTAGGACATAAGGCAATAAAAAAAATGGGAAGACATGTTCATCTAATTTTACTCAAGTATTCTAAACCCTAGTAAACTAAACTTTCTTCTGAAAAGAAAATACTCTCAATGCATTGTTTCTTGTTTACTAGTACAGTAAGCTGGCAAAATATGTTTAAGTGGCTTTTAATGAATTAGTATAAAATATGCTTGATTAAGAATACTATAAGGAGTTCATTTTATTGGAAGATATAAAATAAAAAAATGGATAGTAGTGAACAAAGAGGTCAACAAACTGGTGACATGAATGACTGACAGGTATAATAATATGAAAGGAAAACATGAGGGATGTAATGACAACAGCCCTCACTAAAAGCAAAATAAGTTTCAATCAATTTACTAAAATTAAGTTTAAATGCCAAAGTAAAAGAGTAGGATTCTACAAAAAACAACTGAGCTGAAGTGGTTGAGCGCTTGCCTAGCAAGTGCAAGGCCCTGGAGTTCAAACCCCAGTACTTCCAAAACAAAAACAAACAAAAAAACCTAACCAACCAGCCAACCAAAACAACCCAACCCTCTGCCCCCAAAAAACTCCCAAACCCAAAAAACCAACCTACTCTACTTGTGGTAGAGGGCTTGCCTAGCAAGCATGAGGCCCTGGGTTCAATCTGAAATACTTAAAAACAAACAAAACAAATCACCCATGAAGTAAGTCACTTAACTGTCTTAGGCAAGTGACAAGGAGAAATGCAAAGGTGGAGGCAACCAAGACATCCCCAATAGCAAATTGCCAACAGACTCCAGGTTGAACTTTGTACCCAATGAAGTCTGAATCAGTCAGAGGTCCCCAGATTGCACAGTTTCTTCCAATGCTAACTAGACGCATTTCAAGCAGTGGATCATCCATGGGCTGGGTTCTGGGGGAGGGCTGCTGTCTGTCTCAGTGCAGGGCCAACTGCTCTGGAACTTACCTTTCTTCAAGTCTGTTAGCCTTAGAACAAAGGTTAATTCTCTTTTTTCTGTTTCCTGAACCTGGAAGATCTCTGATCCAAAGTTGGGACTTTTACTTTTGTCTGTGTCAAGACACTGTGAAATCTTAGTGAGTCTAACAATATTTTCATGTCCTCTGCCACTATCTCTCCTTCTCTAACATGGAGATTACAACTCAGTTTTGCCCAACAGGCAGTTCAGATGTTATAATTTATTCAATCATAAGGTAAAACTGGAAATAGGACACTTGCAAGTTCTTATTGTTATTTGAGGAGTGGAGTGTGACAAGGCATGATAAGAAGACATGTGGATGTAGACACATTTGTGGAAAATTCCAACATATGTGAAAATAGTCATCATCTAACCACAAATGATGCAATTTAGGCAAGAGGAAGGCTGGGTTGTTGCAGAATTTTAGTATGTATTTTCATTGAGCAACATGGAAAAATGTGTAAGACAGAATACATTCAGTAGGACTGAAAATCATTGGCAAATGAGAACAGTCAGTGAAGCCATGATACTTCCATCTTTTAAACAAAATTATCTTTGGTCATGTTTAACCACAGCACGCTAAAGTCACATCACTGGATTGCAACTGAACTGGAAGTCAAAATGAAATGGGAGGCATGTTCCAGGTGAAGAAGGGGTGGTGGAATTTTTCAGGTAGAGTGGAAAGTAAGTGCAGACACCTGGCAGCAAGAGAGGCATTGCAGACACCTGGCAGCAAGAGAGGCATACCTTGGGATGAAACATGGCTTAGTGTGACTCATGTTACAGGTGCACAAGGGGAAGAGAGAGCAGACTGAGGAGTGAGCAGGTCAGATCAAGGACAAATTTGGCAATATGTTAATGCTAGAGTTTTGACTTTATTCTGAAGTCAAAAGCATCACTGGAAGGTTTATTTCAATCATGGGGCAGATGTGATCAAATCTGTATGAAAGGAAGATCTCTTTATCAGCTCTGGATAATGGCCTGGAGTGGGGCAAAATGGGAGGCAGGAGGACAGTAGGTCCCAAAACTTTCATGGAGGAGCTTCCTATCTCAAGGGCCCCCAGCTTAGGGTGGCTTAGGGGACATATGACTAGTGTTCCAGAACCTTAGGCTCTGCAGATTGGTGGTGACCATTATCTGTAGATACCAAGACCACTTTGAATGAGCTTAAAATATACTTAACTGCGCTCCCACTGAGTAGGTAAATGTCAAAATGAAAATATAAATTAACTCACCATCTGTTTTAAATTTCTAATATTAAAAATGGCCAATTCCTCCCATTCTTTATAAGAGTGGTTTATTTTTATGTTTGTTTTTAATTTTATCCTTAGAGACAGCTG